TAAAGGTCCTGGGTTCGATTCCCGGTCAGGGCACAGGCCCGGGTTGTGGGCTCGATCCCCAGTGGGGGGCGTGCAGGAGGCAGCCGATCCATGATTCTCTCTCATCAGTGATGTTTCTCTCTCTCTCCCTCTCCCTTCCTCTCTGACATCAAGAAAAATATATTAAACAAACAAAAAAAGAGTAAAAAAATGACCCCAGCAGCCACGTCCCTTGGGGTCATTCACGCACCCAGATCAGCACCCCGGATTCTGAAGCAAGTTTGCATCCAGCCCTGGCCGGTGTGGCTCAGTGGATAGAGCGTTGGCCTGCGAACTGAAAGGTCCCGGGTTCAATTCCGGTCAAGGGCACAGGCCTGGGTTGTGGGCTCCATCCCCAGTGTGGGGTGTGCAGGAGGCAGCCGATCCAGGATTCTCTCTCATCATGGATGTTTCTATCTCTCACTCTGGCCCATGCAGGAGGCAACCAGTCTATGTATCTCTCTCACATTGATGTTTCTCTCTCTCTTTCTCTCTCCCCCAACCTCCTTCCACTCTCTCTGGGATAAAAATCAAAAAATATCCTCAGGGGAGGATTGAAAAATAAATTAAAACATAAATAAATAAAGTGCCCGGCCCGGCTGGTGTGGCTCAGCAGAATGAGTGTCCTCCTATAGACCTAAAGGTCCTGGGTTCGATTCCCGGTCAGGGAGATTAAAAAATAAATTAACACATAAAATAAATAAAGTGCCCGGCCCAGCTGGTGTGACAGCGGATTGAGCGTCCTCCGATAGACCTAAAGGTCCTGGGTTCGATTCCCGGTCAGGGCACAGGTGGGCCGCGTGGCTAGTGCAGCCTCGGGGCTGAAGGTCGAAGCAGTCATGTTGGGGACCAGGGGGCAGGCTGCTGGGAGGGTCCCCCCCACCCCCCAGGGAAGGAGCAGCCGCCGAGTTCAGCGCTGTGTCCCCCTGGGCACCATGCCCTCCCTTCCCCAGGGAGCTGGCTGGGGCTGTGCCCGCGGGTGGTTCAGGCTGGTGGGCAGCTCCATCTGGGAGGCGGGGAGAAGGCGAATCTGTTGCTCTCCGCGTTCCCATTCCTGGCACTCGCCCCAGATGGAAAGATCTAGACCAGCGGTTCTCAACCTTCTGGCCCTTTAATACAGCTCCTCATGTTGTGACCCAACCATAACATTATTCTCGTTGCTACTTCATCACTGTCATGTTGCTCCTGTGATGAATCGTCATGTAAATATCTGATATGCAGGATGGTCTTAGGCGACCCCCGTGAAAGGGTCGTTCGACCGCCAAAGGGGTCGCGACCCACAGGCTGAGAACCGCTGATCTAGAAGATGCTGACTTCCTCTGGGTCCGCCTTCAGGTTACGGGACCGACCCGGGCGCCACGACATTTGGGGGAGGGTCGCCAAGCCAGGCCAAAATTTTTTTAAATTAAATTAAGATAAAATGAAATACATTTTTTTTTTAAAAAAGGGTCTGGATTCCCTAGGGAACAGCAGCAGCTCTGGCCTCTGGTCCGAGGCATTGGCTGCCGCTGTTGAACTTGACCTTTGAACTTGGCCTGTGAAGATGCTGCCATAACAGAGTCCCGCCGCCCTCCCTCCTTACACTCACCCCACGATCGGCCACCCTCGTCCCCCTTCCAGGGCTCCTGGCCCGGATCAGAGGGCAGCCCGAGGTGAGGGGAGGCGAGGGGTGTCCCCTGGGTGGAGGGGGCAACTTGCACCCCACCCCGGAGAAACCCCACTTGGCGATCCCCACCCCCAGCAACCGGGCCACCAGGAGGCCCCCCGGAGGCTCCC